ACGGCAACATTCACGCGAAATGTTGCCCTCTTAGTTGTCTCCCTGATTCTTAAGCTCATTTTCTACGATATCGAGTCAATTTCTTCTTCCTTATGCCTCTTCCCTTCTCTCTTGTTCTCTTCCTACCGTTCTCTTCGCCTTCTTATGTGATCCAGTTTTCTCCTTCTCCTTCTCTCCCTCTCTTTATCACTTCCTCTATCGCAAAAAAAAAAAAATGTTTCTTTTTTTTACACTTGGACTTCTTTCACTTCTAAATATTCGTAAAGAAATTAATTGCATTGGAGTTAGGGAGCATTCTTATCAACAAACCTGCAACACAGGCGATGGCACGAGGGGTGGGGGTGGGGTGGGGGGGACTAAGGGGGTATTAAAGGGGGGGGGGGGTCTATCGTGAGGAAGGGGGGGGGGGCAACAAAATGGAACCCAACATTTTGACTCGATAAACTTATTCACAAAAAAAGAAAAAAAAAAGAAAAAAAAAAAGAAAAATATGCATCATCAGCTTACTGCATGTGCACCGTTATTAGAAATACTTACAGCATTCATCATTAGTTATCATTAATGTTTTTTTTTTTATTTATTTATTTATTTCTTATCATCACCATAGGAAGAGTTACGTCAAAGCTTCAATGTGTGAAAGTGTGGGAAGGGGGCTACTGAGTATCTGGGCAAATATGCATGAGGCCTTATTTTTTGAGATTCACCAGAATATATATCTCTCTATATGTATATATTGCAGTAATTCCCCAAAAAATAGTTTCGTTAACAGCAATATCAAAGGCTAAAACTCATGACTTCTTTTTGATAAATTTACAACAGTCATCCAGAACCCTTTAAAAGTGAAAACACAGGTACCTAGATCAGAGAAAACACTAAAGATTATTACATCACATATTTGATCGTAGGCGCCTTAATACATATCTAAATAATAATGTACATTAAAAGTAAATGTTGTTGTTGTTGTTTTTTTCTTCATCCATTCTTCATTTCCAGTTTTTTTCTTTTCTTTCTAATATCATTCATTATTATTATTATTAATTATTAATTATTATTATTATTATTATTATAATCATAACCGATGTCTTTCTCAAGTGAAAAGATAACTCTTGCGACCTGTGGGAGTTGTGGCCAGTCACGTGACCGGTCAAGAGTCAAAGTCTATGGCAACGTAGGATGGCACAGTTACTAACCTAACCTAGCAAGTGTTGGTACACAGAAACGTACATAGCAAATATCACAACCAAGTGCAGGTGACGTTCCCGACGACGGCGACGACGAAAGCGACGTCCGGCGACCCGACGCCGACGCCGACGCCGACGACGATACGACGACGACGCGGCGACGACGGCACCTCCCGCGTCACGCTGCCCCGGTCCTGCGTGGCGGCGGCCGAGGACTGTGTGGCTCCCATGGCCCCTCCTCACACTGCTAAGACAACTGGGTCTCTTTTTCTTTTCTTTGGCGGCCAGCGAGTCCTTTTGGCGGTCGGTAGCGTCCACTGCCGCCAGGCTGCCGTCATTCAGTGTGAGGAAACAGCTCCCGTGTATATATGTATATATATATCCCCGAATCACACTCCCCCGTATATCACACTTATCATTTTATCTATATGAACTATAATCTCGTTTCCACCTTTTTTTTCTTGGATACCCTTTTTTTTACCCAAGTGTGGCACTCTGAGCTAAAGCAGTTTTGTGAAGCCGAGGACCGAGCTCCTCCCTTCTTCCCCGAGGCGCCAGGAACCTTCTCCTTCCCTGTCTTCTTCTGTGCTTGCGGCTGTTGCACTGCACACTGCTATCGTGGCTTGCAAGAGACACTTCCGGCCTGTCTTTTCATCATTTACGCCATCGCGACGACACATCTTCAGGATAATTATGTATCCTTATCTGAATTCCTATGTTCCGGTCACTGGTGGTTCTCGACGTGACAGAAGTATCAAAATCGCATCGACTACTAGGCAAAAAGCACCGTTTACTTTTCAAAAAAAATATGAACACGGAAAGATAGTCAATAATAAAAAAAAGCCTGATGATGATGAAGACGACGACCCAACCTTCCAAGCCTCGTTTCAGCAGATGTTGAGCCGCGCTCTGGCGATCTCCTGGCTCTTGTTGGCCGTGAGAGTCTTGCCGCGGGCGCGCTGGAAGATCTGCCAGCACCCGCACACCTTTCTCTTGCGCCTGTGTTTCAGTTTGGTCACGGTGGCGAACACGACCTGCTGCTGCGGAGGGAGGTCCTGCTGCCGGTACGGAAGGTAAGTCTCGTCGAACGCTCGTCTCTGGCTGTTGAGCTCCTGCGTGCACACTTTGCATGCGTCGACGCCCACCACGGGGGGAGGGGGAGAGTTTGTGCGCTTCTGGGTGGTGTGTGAGGGGGGGTATGGGTGGCAGCTCGGTAGGGGACTGCAGGTGGGGGGGTATGGGAGCCGAACACCTCCTCCTGACGAGGACTAGGGCCGGGGTTCCTGTCAGTCCGGAGACACGGTGCGCTGCGGATGCTGACGCCGGTAGTTGTCGCTGCTGTCCGCGCTCAGGGGGCGGTAGCGGCGGATTCTGAAAAAAGCGGAGGAGGTCAGCGCGACGTCAGCGAGGGGAAGGCGAAGCTAATGCGACATCAGCATTACACATACATATATACAGAAAAGAGAGAGAGAGAGAGAGAGAGAGAGAGAGAGAGAGAGAGAGAGAGAGAGAGAGAGAGAGAGAGAGAGAGAGAGAGAGAGAGAGAGAGAGAGAGAGAAACAGAGACACAGACACAGAGAGAGAGAGAAAGAGAGAGAGAGAGAAATAAAAAGAGAAAGAGAAATAAAGAGAGACAGAGACAGAGACAGAGAAACAGAAACAGAGACAGACAGACAGACAGAGAGAAAGAGAGAGAGAGAGACAGACAGATAGACAGAGAGAAACAGACAGACAGACAGACAGAGAGAGACAGAGAGACAGAGAAACAGAAACAGAGAGAGAGAGAGAGAATCAAATACATAAAGGCTAAGCTGAACCAACTACACATGAATAACCTAGGACTTCAATGCAGGTTAAAATAGTAAAGTAAAGGCAGTACAAGTTCAACACTAAACATGGCGGCGGGAATGTATAAACAAAAATAACAGCGAAGTTAATGAAAAACAAGAAGCCATTTACACAAGCAAAAATTCAAAAATAATTATGGAAAATTAATAATGATGTTCAACACATGAATTGACATATGAAATTACACCCTAAAACGAGAATATGTGTATGATTATTAGTATTTTTTAAGCAGTTACATAATAGCAATGACTGTGACTGTGTTTTTTTTATAATTTTACATCATGAGAAAGATATATGAGTAAAAATAATATAAATCCGATACATTTACATAATTAAAGAGAAAATATCTTCCCTCTTAAACAAATCAGTGTGTGTGTGTGTGTGTGTGTGTGTGTGTGTGTGTGTGTGTGTGTGTGTGTGTGTGTGTGTGTGTGTGTGTGTGTGTGTGTGTACGCGTACGTGTACGTGTACGTGTACGTGTGCGTGTGCGTGTGCGTGTGCGTGTGCGTGTGCGTGTGCGTGTGCGTGTGCATGCGTGCCAACCCTTGCCCAGCGTTCCCCGACGCCCACCTGGCGGCGACGTCCCTGGCGGCGGACGGCGGCTCGGAGGCGGGGGGCCGCGGCTTGCGGGGGTGGGAGCTCTCCGACTCGCTCGACTCCTCGTGCTGGGGCTTCAGGAGGTAAGAAGGCACGCCTCGGCCGCCGTCGAAGTAGCGGCCGCCCGCCCCAGCCTCGATCATGGACACGCGCTGTCTGCTGCGGGGGGAGGGAGGGGGTCAGTACGTCTCATCTTGTGGAATCAGTCGTTTTATTAGTCTTATCGCTGCCATTAATTACGGCACCAGTGGTCTTGCCCTTATCATTACCGTATGCACAACTCTGTCGCTTCCGTTAGGATCTTCCCCATCCACAACATCCCTTGAATAATCCCCATCACTCTCATTACTGACACTTAAACGCAGTAGTTTTGATCAAGTGACGATCAGATTTATACGTTTTAAACAAGGAAAAGTTCTTGTTTGGTTTTATGGTTGAAACTGGATCACTATTTATTGGTCGTCAAATTTCCCTATTAATAAAACGTGTGAAAAAACAGCCAAGGACGTACAAACTAACAGACAAATGCGGACATATTCAAATACACCTATACTCTGATTCGTTGAGTCAATTTACATCTGACAAAACTGTATTCTGATGACTGTTACTGAAACTTAATTGAGTTCTAGCTCTTTCAGCGCCTCCGGCCCCTTCCCCCTGAGGGGCAAGAGGGGTCGGAGGAGAGGCCGAGCCTCCTTCATTTACCTTTGGCGGTTCCTGGTCTGCAGCATCGCGGGCGGCGGCGGCGTGACGTCGGACATGGGCCGCGTGCGGCGCCGTTGGAACCGCAGGTTGAGCTGCGTCTCGTCCGTGACGTACTTATCGACGCCCTGCCTGCGTCTGCGCAGCGCCGGCGTGAGGTCCGCGAGGTCCTCGGAGTGGTCCTCCTGGCTGACGGAGTGCTGGAACTCGCGCGAGGAGCCGCGGTCCCGCCCCGACCGGTGCTCGGACGCGCCGCTCCGCGTGCTCGAGTCCTCCTCGTTGCCCGGGGACGTCACCTTCTCCGCCAGCGCCACGGAGATCCTGCGCGCCGCCTCCGCGCGCTCCGCCTCCGAGTAGCGCGGACTCCTGCCTCCGGAGGGCACGTTGTGGCTGTTGTCGGGCTCGCCGTCCTTGGCGGTGCGGGCCCAGAGAGGCACAGGAATGCGGCTTTTTTGCGAGGAGTCCTCCTGCGCGGCGGGGGATTTGCGCGCGGCGGGGCCCCGCGGCGTGTCGGGGGACAGGGAAGACCGAGGCTGGAGGTCCGTGGGGCGCGGCGTGTTGGTTCTGGAAGACTCCTCCGACCCCTCTTCGAGCAGGTCCTCGCAGGAGCGGCGGTGGCGTGAGGAGCGACTTCGCCGGCCGCCGCTCTCGCTGTGCGGAGGCGTTCCTCGCGGCGACACCGACGGCGTGACTGTGCGCGATCTGTTCATCATGGTGGACACCTGGAAGGCCGTGTTCAGGTCCTGCAGGTTGATCACCGAGATCTTTCTCATGTCGTCGTTATCCAGCTTCTCCTCGAGCACGAACTCCAGCGACCGCCTCCGCTCCGACGTGAGCGACTTGTCCTCCTCGCAGAGCGTGTCGTGTCGCGTCCGCTGCTCCGTGTCGCGCTGCCCCATCACCGTCTCGTAGCGCGAGGACTCGGGCGGCGGCGCGCCCATCACCGTCTCGTAGCGGGACGTCTCCTGCGCGGTGGGGCCGGCGGTCGGGTCGTGCGCCGCCGACTCATAGCGGCTGGTGTCGGGCGGGTGGGCGGCCGAGTCGTATTGCGTGGTCGGTTCTCCGTCTCGGTCCTTGTGGTCCTCCAGCACGATGGGCAGCGCCACGACGCCCAGCCGCCGCCGGGCCTCGTCCTTCTTGCCGCTCCGCACGTCCGCCTTGTCCTTGGCGGCAGCGTCGGCGGCGTCGCTTCCCTTGGCACTCTCTTCGTTCGCGTCGCTGCGCGGCGACGTCGACTTGGCGTGGATCTTGAGGCCGGGCTGCGACGCGTCGTCCGGCGGCGGGGCGTCGTAGTAGACGGAGCGCTCGTCGGGCAGCGCGTGCGGGCTGGCCTGCAGGGCGGTGACTTTGGCGGACGCGCTGGGGGGCAGGTCGAGTGTGGCGGGCGCAGGCGTGTCCTCGGCCCCGGCGTTGAAGGCGGGCGGCGCGGGCACGACGGCAGACAGCTCCTGGCGAGACACCCGCGTCTGGCTGGCCACGATGGTGGTGGGCCCAGATGGCTCGGAAAACTTCCTGTCCTTGTCAAGCACTCGGAACTCGATTTTGCACCCGACGACTGCCTCATCCTCGCCCACGTCGTCGTTTTCGCACACGCTGCAACCAAAAGGGAAGTGAGAACAGGCAACACAACTCCACTCTAAAACTATTTGACTCCTCATCAGACACCCGCATCCCCAGGCACCAGCCGGCCGAGTGCCCCGCCAAAGGCACTGCGGCAGAAACTCACCCGATGTCCGGCATGCTCTGGCGGCGCTCGGGCGTGAGAGGCGAGCCCTCCCGCGACGTCTTGATGCAGACGCCGCGGGCGACGTCCACCTCGAACACGGCGTCGGTGACGGTGGTGGTGTGGATCTGCGGCGGCTCAAGGCCCGGCCGGATGTGGCTGGAGATCTGCGGGTTGGACCAGGCGCGGGGCAGGCCGGGGTGGTCCGCCTGCTCGCCCTGCAGGGGACTCTTGGTCGCCTCCAGCGCCAGGCAGGCTGCGGTGGGACCGGCCTCCTCCACGCCGCCGGAGGCGCGGGTCACCACGCGGAACTCCTCGATGCCGTGACTGCCCGCCACGCTGCCGCCGACCATCGTCACGTCAGGAACCTGCGGGAGCCACGCACGGCGTTAGTATAGAGAACCTGGCTTTGAGTCGCTACCAGTCGCTAACGAAGGCAAAAATTAATAAAAATAAGATGAAATAAAATCAAATAAATGAAAAAGAAAGAAAAACATGTCGATGAATTCTGTATGTTCAACGTCAACATCATGGCAGAAGAAGGAGCCGCTACTCTACAGTTGTGGCCAGCGAGGGCATGAGAGAGAGAGAGAGTTCTGCTGACAGTCGCTGTGTGACAACGAAGGCTATTCATAGTCTGGCAAGCAGCCAAGAGTTCAAGGTCACACGGCGAGCGAAGAAGGTCCCGCGAAGTCGTCAAGGTCAGGGAATCCGTCGTGCGTCTGCGTTCGCTTCCGTCAGCGCCGCCAGAGCCACCTCGAGGGCGGCCCGAGGGCGGCCCGAGGGGCGGCGCCCGGACTACGCAACGACTCGAGGTGGGTCGCTCGGGTCTGGGTGAATGCATTGGCCGTTACTGTCTAGTTAGAGAGAAAAGCCTCGCACACAACACGATGCAGCTGGAGATTAGCGCGCACACGCACACGCACACGAGAGCCAACAAAAGCGGACACACACACACGGACACGCACATGCGGTTATTGTGACACATCTGGCAACACGTCGAGGATCACCTTGAGGAGGACCAGACACGGGCGTCCGTCCGCACGGGACACGTGGGACTTCGCGAAGACTGTGGGTGGAGGCGTAATTAGGGAACGCCCGAGTGGTGGAGATGGTGGGCGGGGAGCGGGCGGCTTAGATCTCGAGAGCCCGTGGGCGCCTTTGAGGGCTTTGCTCAAGGTCACCGAGAGGCCACAACGGGTCACAAGGACGACCTCAGGTCATGGGAGTTATCAAAGGAGGTGGCACGTGGCGTCGGTCGGTCGCTTGGTCCCAAGGTACTGGAATGGTTGAGTGTAAGCGTGGAGTGAGCCTCGGTGGGCGGGGCTAGCCTCGAGGGGGAGGGGCTAGCCGGCATGGGCGGGGCAGGCTAGCAGCGTAGATGGAGCCCCGAGATCACCACGTGCAAGGTAGTCTCCTCGAACAGCACACTCCGTCGCTGGCGCACCG